CTAGGTTACTTTTGGTAAACAGAACAAAACTTTGTCACACGGAGAGAAAACCTTCTCTCAGGCTTTCGCAGAGAGCATATTGGCCAAGCAATGGCCGTGACTCATCCACATGGCTGCACTGACAAAGGTTCTACAATCTGAGGTACAGGATCTCAGGATAAATCCTGAGGGGATTTCACTGACCTTATCAGACCCAAAAGCTACAACTCTTGTTGCATAGGTCCTGCTTTACCTGGGTCTTAACCATCCAGCAGAAAAGTATAAAAACAGAGTATAAGAAGTAAAGCCATGCTGTTATGCTGAGCTGTAGAGGACTCAGGTCAACAATTTCTGACATTGCCAGTGAAGCAGATGACCCAATACTATTATGGACTACTGCACTTTTTTGGAATATTTTGCTGAGTTCACACAACTATAATATTCAAATAATGGAACTAAACAAGAAAAGGGGATACATATGAATGTCCATTTTGTATCTGTATATTCAAAATGGTTAGGATTTGTATGATATCTTCTCCTAGTATTAGAAACTTTAAAAAGTATACTTCCATTTTCTGTTGACTTAAAAAAAAGAGGTTTGTACCTATGTTATTTGCTTATTATTTCTTGTCTATATCTTGTAATATGAGAAACTACTTTGGCAATATCAATACACAATGTACTAACCATAAAACAAATGGTTAGGATAGATATATAGTTACATTCTCTTAACGAATAGAGGGATTTGTTCTAATAGTGTTTTGTAAGTAGGATAGCAAGTCCACATCTTGTACTGCAATTAACCACTAGGAAGAATGTATACAATGTGTTAATTATTGAAACTATCCTACCAATTTGGTTTGAAACTGTCTCATTGCTATTTGTTTCTCAATAAAATTATGGGAAAAAACCAAAACTTCATCATGTGTGCCTAAGATTTATGTTTAAGCTACCCGTGACATGCAGCTACTAGGCACCTGGGAACAAGGACATGAAAACAGGATGTTCTTGAGGAGTTCTGTTCTTGGTTTCTCTCTGTTCCTTGCAGTCGTATTTTTCAATTCCTCATCCCTGCAGGTCATTCCATACATCTCTATCTTAACTTTTAGTCCAACACTCAGTCACTGGTTTCTCTGCCACCACACATCCATGGCTTCCTTCCTGCCTCTCAGAATGCCCACTTTTCAATCGCCTTTTCTTCTGCCAGTCCTTTAAATGGAAGTATTCCTCACTGTTTCATCTTAAACCAGTTCTCTTCTCCCTAGACTCCCCCTCCCTAGCACTGTCAACTACTTTGATTACCATGTAATGCTGATATCTTGCAAGTATGTACCTGCAGCCCAATTTTATTCCTAAGATTATAATTCATGCTATCAGACTTCTGCTGGGATTGAATGTTTATATGCACTCCACATTAACCTGTCCTTGTAGGATTTAGTTCATCTTTGTGTTCTCTAGCAACTTCCAAAATGACTTTTCCTGTTTATTTTCTCAATTAATGATGCCATGATCTGTGAAGCTGCTCAAGTCAGAAAACTGGGGATCATTTTGGTTTCTGTCTCTTTTTTCCTAAACCCTATCATTTGATTAGCCTTGTTGAGTATGTTAAGGGGCTCTTAAACCTGCTTACTCTTTTCATTCATATCTTTTCATGTGGTGGCAACCACCATTTACTCACCTCTGGGTTACAGCATCTTGTAAAAGCCAGCCAAATATTGTTTCCTCCATGAGGTCCTTGGAATATAGCACCCTACTTCTCATCCTCATCCATTCTTTAGCTTTGTGCAGTATGACTCAAACATTCATGAAGGTTTCAGTTCTCTTTTAACTCTTTTTCCCACTACTTTCTGGTTTCTTTCTTCCCCACTCCACTGTACCTTCCTTCCCCCTCACTATTCATTAGTTGAATGCAATGACTAAGTCACTGCCTGCAGAAAGCCTTCCCTGAGCCACCCATCTTGGCTGTTTCTCCTTAAGGATGACATTATGCACTGAATTTCTCTACCACAGCATTTATTACTGTGTATTATAGTTACGGTTCTACTATTTGCAAGGATAGTTCATTTCATTCATTTTTCTCCTTCAGTTTCTTCGTAAGTATACATTTATTAAGGAAAGAGCTAGTGGAGGGACCAAATAAGTGACTGGGTGCTCTGTTCCATATATTCATTCAGGAACCCAAACATCTAGCAGTTCTCACTCCCACTCGAATTCCAGTGAATTGGCCTCAGCTCATGGCAACATCTGACTGCATGAGAGGCTAGGAGAGGTCATTTGTCTGTGTCAGCAAGTAGAATAAGTTTGGTCATCAGCTAGTAGTCTGCAGTACTGACCTTTAATTTCCCCAACCTATAAATTTCATTACATCAGAAGTAAAGATTTTCTTACTCTCCACTTTATCCTCAACTTTAGATGTAACTGGTGATCAATAAGTATTTGCTGAGCAAATGAAGCTATGCATATCAGCATTCATATGTTGCCTTTTAAGTGTGTTTTCCCATTTTTTTTTGTATTTTTTAGGAAAGGGTCTACAGGGTATTCAGGGTCTCACTACTAGATCGGACTTATAGTGTTCCATCTGTTTACAGCTTCCCAAGAGCTGGGATTATAGATGTGTGCCACCATGCCCAGTCTCAATTGCCATCTCAGCATACCCTGGGGGCAGAGCTGGCATGGCAGGCCTAGGGATCAAACTCCCAGCCCCTGTGCCTGCTTGTGGGTATTTTAATCCACTGAGCTATTTGTCTGGCCCTTGGTTTCCCATCTTGATGTTGGCTGCTACTCTTGGAAATTACCCATATAGCATCTTCAGCAGCAGCCTCTAGTGTGCCTTCCTACATTTAACTGTCTTCATGAAACTATGGTATAATAAGCATATTTCTGGATTTCACTGGTAGGCTCCATTACAGAAATTATTATTATGATCATCTACTACTTATAGATACATTATCTACAATGTCAATGTATTTGTTTAACAGACATATTTTAGAGGTTTTCACCCATACTTTCTCTACTTAAGGCATGAACGTCCCCAAAGTTGCAGTTGCTGGGAAGCTGAAACAATAATTACCATTGACAAATGCTTTATGATAAATAAGCCTATTAATAAAAGATCTAAATAATAAAACTGAGCTGTAGAGATAGCTTGGCAGTCTAAATACCTTCCTGGTAAGTACAAGGACCCAAGTTTGATCCCCGGTACCACATGCTGTGCCAGCCCCAAAACTGGGCCTGGTCGTGTACACCTGTAATCCCGGTGCTGGGGAGACTGAGACAGGACGATTGCTACAAATCTGAACTGCATGGTGAGACCCTGTACTGAATAAATAAGTAAATGATTGTTTTAAAGTCTATGTATTAAAACAGAAACACTAAATCTACTAGAAGAGAAAATAAATAGAACTCTTGACTGTGTATGTATAAGCAAAGACTTCATGAATGAAACCCTGATCTCCTGGAAATATTACAAAGAATTAACAACTGGGATCTCATTATATTAAAAGGCTTTTGCATGGCAAGAGAAACCACCAACAGAGTAGAGAAAACAACCAATATAGACTGGGGAAAAAAATTGCCAGTTATTCCTCAGACAAAGAAATATCATCTCAAACACACAAAGAAATGGCCAATGAGGGTATTAGCTATCAGATTATAAAGGTATTGTTAAAGCTGTTGTACATATTGTACACAGTGAATTTCATTTTAAACATCTAGAGGAAAATTTATTTTAAATTATAATGAAAAGAATAACTGTTTCTCCTGAAAACTGAATTGTTTTATCCTCTGATGCCATCAATCATATAACAGGCACTTTCTATTTCCTAGCATTTGCTACTGGGAAGTTCAGGAAAAAATGAAGCTACATAGAGTAGAGAACATCAAGATTTGCATTTTCTGCACTGTGCCAATTCCGGCTTCCAGTAACTCAACATCTTCTCTAGCTATATTTTCCTTTGTCCTCAGTTTTGCTTTCTTTTCAGTACTTTTTGTCTTCTCATAGTGCACACTCATGTAAGCCACCTTGAATACGTTTTGGAACAAAGGGGAAATACATTCCGCTGAAATATATTAAAAATTTGTTTTACAAGAGACGTAAGCATAATTTCAATAGAATGTTGTGAGGTATTTTTCTTTCTCACTAATCTACCATGTTTCATCTCCAGAGAAATTTTCAAGGGAATGTGAGGCAGTCTTTCATTCTGAGAGAGGATAAAGACAGGAAGAGGATAAAAAATGATTGTTTGTAAGCATGGAGATGATCTTACAAGCTGACAATTGAAATAATATGAAACCCTGTTGAGTGTGTGCCTGGGTTCTTTTTCTCATTGCTGAGACAAAATACCTGATGGCCACAATTAAGGGAGGAAAGGTTTATTTAGCTCACAATTTGTGGAGGTTTCAGTCCATACTCAACTGGCTCCATGGCAGGGTGGCAACAGCTCTAGGAGGCAGAGGCATCAAGAGCCACAAGAGCACAAGGGGCCAGCACAAGCTTCTTCTCATCCCTCACATCATAAGTAAGTGTAGCACTCACATCACCCTCTGTCCCCCTCTTACACAGGCTAGGATGTTTACAAAGTGAGGACTCTGGCTCCATGCTGAGTCGCTTAGCTAAACTTCTAAACTTCTCAAGTTGACACAACATATCAGCCCTTACAATATGTGAAAAATATTTTCTACTATTCTGAAAATTCACTTTCATGTAAGTCCTATGAGAATAAGAACCTTGTTGCTATTTCCCCAGCATGAGAACAGATCTAGGGACAGTAAACACAGAAATAATATATTTTGTAAGTGAAAATATTAAACATTTGTACTTAGGAGAACTGGGTTAATGGCAAAAAGGTAAGAATGAAAGCATTACATGGGTTCAGTTTTATCATTTAGAAAATGAGGATATTAGACTATTTCCTCCGAGATCTTTCCATTCTAATGTTCATGCTCTTGGTGTGTCTACTGATACAGTTAAATATAAAGATATAAATACCTATGATAATTTGATAATATTACTTTCAAAATAGAAGATCCAGCTACGTCTTCATTGGTCCTCATAGATGTGACTACATCAAAGCCACACATCGTGCCTCAGAGTAAGTACAAAAAAGCTTTCCTCACACATTTCAGACACAACGTACCAGTTTCACCAGATATGGCTCTTTGATATTGAGATTTGGGTAAAAGGTTATAGTTTTCATTTGATGTTGATGTTTAGTCTTGGGCTACTCTATAGTGACTATACAGACCAATCCCTATAATCTTAAAAATAAGGTTGATGATCTGTTACTATGGTGTGTTTTTATTTGTCCAGGGATTTTGGTAGTAATCTTCTCAACACTCTCAGTGATCTGAGTTGGTGAAAACAACTGAGAGAGCAAATCAGTTATAATTCGACATTAAACATAAAGTATAGAGATTCTATTTAATAACGGCTAATTTTTCTTCAAAGAGGAGGACAATTTTAATTTCAGTTATCCCCAAAGTCACATACATTAAAGTCTCAGTGCATCAAAGCAAAGTTATAGCTTTATTTTAAAAGTTTGATTCTGAACATAATTTTGTCTTTCAGCCAGCAATTCCAGTATGACCAACCAAGTCTTCAGTGACTCCTGGACCTCCAGTGCAACAGAAGACAAAAAATGTTGAGTATAAGCCTGGGTCCCTTAGCATATGGGGCTTTTCACTCATTCGACACATATTGAACCACCACCATGTGCTTGGTCATAATCACTACTATTTGCAGTAAACCTACCTTGTTTAAAGCATTCCTGTACATGTTAGGAATACATCTGGAAGCAAAATAAATCTAAGCTCCAAATTCTGTTGGAGGACATTAAAGTAGCAAAGTGATAAGGGGAAACAAGGTAGTGAAGGAACCTAGGAAAATCAAAGAGAAGGGTGGGTGGTTCACAAGGTCTTATTGAGGGAGTTGAGGCAACACGTGAACCAACAGAGCAAGCTATGAATGCATGTGGGGAAAAGAAAAGGAGCCGGGGTATGTACCTTATCAATGAAAATGAAGAAAGAGCAATCCTAATCTGACACACAGAGACTATGGTTTTTGGTTTGTTTGGTTTTTTTAATGCGGAACCAAGGATCGAACTCAGACCATTGCACTTGCCCAAGGAGGTGCTTATTCTACTGAGCCATCTCCCAGGACACAAGACAGTGTATTTTTCCTCCAATCCAAATGGCAACAGCTCTGTGGGAAGCCTGAAGAAGAAATACACTGCCTCCTAGTGGCATTAAACAATGATCGCTGGAGTGGGGCTGTGGCAAGGAGGGGAGCTGTAGCAAAGGCGAAAGAGAATTCCAAGCACCTCAAGTGTGAAACTCTGAATTTACCTTCTGGACCCTTTGATACAAAGTAAATGTGTGTATCCTTTTGGAAAAATTTAAACCATACATCGGAAACCTTTACAGCTCTTTTATGCCTACTGGCTTAGTCATTTGACTGCTAAGAATTTGTCCTTAGGAAATAGAGAAAAGGAATAGGTACAATGCTGTTCTTTGTAGCATTATTTATGTAATTAACCTCTTTGATAGACCTCTTTGATAGGGTCATAGATTTAGGCTAGTCATAATCTTTAATTCATGACACACTTTCATCACTAGTCAATGCATGATCTTCTGTAATTTATTTCTTTTTTTTAAAACACGTTACTATTACAATATTTACCTATAAACTCATTGCCCAAATACAAGAATTGAGAAGGCAGCATGAAAAAATGATGACATCAAAGGAGACCCATAAATAAGTACAATTTAGATATATATCAAAAGTAGGATGACATATTGCTTTGAAAAGGAGGGAGGGATTCTTCAGCAAATAGACGCGGGCATACTCCCCTGCTGTGCACATTGTGCAAACACAAACTGCACATAGTTTAAGATCTTTGTGTCAAAAGAAAAAATTCAAACATGTAATAAAATAAAGATGAATGTCTCCCTGGCTCTTGGACTAGGCTAGGGCTTAGTGAAGAGGCATAAAGCACTAACTATTCAAAATTGATAAATTAGAATGAATTAAGGGGCAACCAGTTCAGGACCCTTCCTGTCTCTCAGAAGCTATTCCTATTTCCAAATAATTTCTCCTGCTCTTAACCTCCATTGTTCCTTAGAATTTATTTTTGGACTTAAGGGAATATGAACTCGGCAAAGCTGATGTCTAGCACTTCGCCTATGTCAAAAGTTCTGAGAGAACAGTTTGGTTGTAAGTGTCCACAGTAGAAAAACACAGCAATAAATAATACCAAAAACTACACCAAATAAATAACAGAATTATGCATTTCAAGGTTCTAAAAAAAGCAAGAACAAACCAATTGTAAAACCAGCAGACATAATAAAGATTAAACAAAAGTTAATGAAACATATGGAATTAAGAAATCTTGTTTTGGACCTGGTGATATACCTCAGCAGTCTGAGCAACTGTCTGGCAAGTGCAAGGACCTGGGTTTGATCCTCAGTACCACATGCCAAGCCTGCCCTAGAACCCCTGATGCACTATGCCAGCCACCGAAACTGGCATGGTGGTGCATGCCTGAAATCCCAGAGCTGGGTAGGCTGAGACAGGAGGATCACTATAAGTCTGAGCTGTGTAGCAAGACCCTGTACCAAATAAATAAATAAATAAGAAATAAAAAGTCAGGGTTTGTGAAAAGATGTCTTAAGGTTTTTTATTATCATTATTATTATTATTATTATTATTATTAATGCGACATTTTCAATAATTAATACATTGCATATTGTTATCTTCTCAGTGGTCATCCACAGCACAAGAAGCAGCCAGGACATTCTTTCCAAACACTGCTACTACAAATCCTTCCTCTCACTGAACCAAGCAAAAGCAATTGTACATCTATCCTGACTGTTCTGTATACACAAATACAAAATGGTCCTTCCTCTGTATCCCCCTGTCCAGTTCAGTCATGTCAGAGATGGGTATTCTATTGGCATCTAAATATTATAGGTGCTTGAATTCAGCAAAACAATCCAACACAGTCCAGTAGTCCACAATAGTAGGGGGTTGTCTGCAGAACTTGTTGACTAGAGCCTTCTACAACTCAGCATATTAACATGGCTTTACTTTATATACCTTGTTTTTATACTTTTCTGCTGGATGGTTAAGACCAAGATAAAGCAAGACCTATATAACAAGAAATGTAACTTTTGTATCTTATGAGGTCAGTCAAGTCCCCTCAGGATTTATCCTGTAACCCTATACTGCACTTTGTAGATCCTTTGTCAGTGTGAGTCATGTGGATGAGTCACAGCCATTGCTTGACAAATTTGCTCTCTGTGAAAGCCTGAAGGAAAGTTTTCTCTCCATGTGACTCTCCTTGAGCACACTATACATCATCGATAACATTCTTCTGTGGTTCCATAATCTCCTTGATCAGAAAATTTGGGGCACAATTGAGTTACATGATGTTACAATACAGGTTCTCCTATGTCCTCAGTCTTTGCTAGCCTTGAAAGGCTAGATCCAAAATGTTGGCTGACTTTGCAGCCCTTCCTTTTCTCCAATTTTTGATCTGCAAACTTAGGTTGTTAACCCTCCAGAAGAGAAACTTATTATTACCCTGCAACATATGTAGTTCGATTTACCCTATCCCTGTAAATTATCCAACATCTTAATCTTGTACAGCAATTAACCACGTGAAACAGGTATCTTCTGTCAAGTATTGATGTGTTAAAATTTAAGTCCTTACAGAATTTGAGGAAAAAAAATTTAAAAATAGGAAAAAACACATATTTTTACACAGAAATTTAGAAATCTAACCATATACAGCATTATAGCAGGACAGTCTTGTGACTTTTTTTTTTCTTTCTTGTGTGCCTTTTTTTTTTTACTCATTTAAAAAAAGAAAAACAAAAAACAAAACCTTCTACTTGTGAGACAGTATAGTAATAGTTGAATGTCATGACAAGAAGTATGTATTTAGAAGAACAAAATGACAGACATTCCAAGAGGGACCCTTCTATTACACATTGCTATCTTCAGTGCAGTTGCTTGGTTCACAGGTATCAGTATATATAGTTAGTGAGGTTAAGAATCCTACCAACTGACTGCTAGTTTCAAAAACCTGCTGATGTTTCTCAGGATCATTGTCTTGCCCATCTTGTGCATACAAGTGTATGGCTTTGTCCCTGTCCTGTTTCCCAGCTTTTCTCCTTACCCTCTCCTCATTGTCCAGTCCTCAAGTACTCGCTTTCCTTTTAGTTGTGTTATACCCTTCTATTTGTATTTCTTCTTTTGATTTCTTATACTAGGGAGACTATATGATATTTACACATGTGTGTCTGGTTTATTTCACTTATGAGTATATCTTCAAGTGGTATCTACTTAAATATAAATGCTTCAAGTTTATCATTCTTTATAGCTGAGTAATACTCCATTGTATAAAAATACTACATCATTTTCAACCATTCCTCAGGTGACGTGCTTCTTGGTTGTTTCCAAGATTCGGCTATCACAAATTGTGCTGCTAAAAACGTAAGTACACATATATCACAATGATATGATGTTTTCTGTTCCTCCAGGAAAATTCCCAGTAGGGGGATAGCTGGCTTAAATGGGATTTCCAGTCCTAGTTTCTTAAGGAGTTTCCACACTGATTTCCATAATGGTTGCACCAGTCTACATTCCCACCAGCAGTGGAGAACGGTTCCCTTTTCCCCACAGCCTCTCCAACATTTGTTGTTGGTTGATTTGTTTATGATTGCCATTCTTTCTAGGATGAGATGGTATCTCAGTATTGTTTTAATTTGCATTTCATGGATGGCTAGTGATGTGTAGCATTTTTTCATATGTTTATTCACTTCTTTAATTTCGTCCTCTGAGAAGTGTGTGTTCATCTCAGATGTGCATTTCTGAATGGGGTCTTTAAATTTAGGGGCCCTAATGTATTTTAGTTCTTCATAAATTCTAGAGAGCAGACCTTTGTCTGAGTGCTTATTAGTTAAGATTTTTTTTTTGAAAATTGTGGGTTGTCTTTTCACTTTGTTGGTAATTTCTTTTGATATGCAAAAACTTCTCAATAAGAGTTTGTCCCAGTTGTCAGTTCTTTCAAGTGTTAACCGTGCGATTTGATTTTTGTTCATGAACTCTTTGCCTACCCTTGTGTCTTCAAGAGTTCCTCCTACTTTCTCTTCCAGGAGATTTAGTGTTTCTTTTTTAATGTTTTGATCTTTAATCCATTTTGATATTAGCTTAGTGCATGGTGATAGACCTGCATCAAGTTTTAGTTTTCGGCATATAGAGAGCCAGTTTTTCCAGCACCACTTGTTAAAGAGGCTATCTCTCTCTCTTTCTTTCTTCTTTCTTTCTTTCTTTTTTCTCCGAATGCCTTCAGGGCAGGTTTGGCTGGCTTGAGTTGTGGGGATCGAACCACAGCAACCTGAGCCTGACTGCTTTGTAGAAGCAGCCACTTAAAGAACTGAGCTAAGATGAAGATGAAATATAGGAAGTAAAGCCATGCTCTTATGTTGAGCTGTGGGGGACTCAGGTCAATAATTTCTAACATTGCCAGTTGAACAGAAGACCCAATGCTATTATGGGGTACTGGACTCTTTTAGAATATTTTGCTGAGTTTACACACCTATAATATTCAAATAACGGAACTTAACAAAAAAAGGGTA